CGAGCCAGAAACCCCATGAGGCCGGTGGTCGGTAAAGGTGGGTGGGAGCAGCGCGTCTGCAGAGGTGATTTCCGTCCTGGGAGGACGGGGGCTCCCCTCCAGGAAGGCAATGACCACAGGGCACCCAGGTGAAGGGGCTGAGAAGGCCTTGGAGAGGAGAGGAACAGCCCGGGTGAAGGCGGCCTGGTGGGGCAGATGGGAGGGCGGTGGGGGTCTCAGCGGAGGGGCACCTCCCGTGATCAGAGCGGGCCCCAGGGAGACCAGGCGGCGGGGATGGGAGGGCAGACCGCTTATCTCAGCCCTCGGCCTCCAGGGAGGGAGTTTCCGGAGATTTCGCCCAATCTCCAGCCTGGGTTTAGGCCTCCTGTGGGTGCATGGTGGGCAGCTGATTTCAGAGCTCTCTGGTCGACGTTTCAGAGGGGCAGGGTTTCAGCCACAGAACCCAGGTGAGAATCAAGGCCTGGGTTTGCCATGGGGTGTGCTGTGGCCCAGCAGTTCAACTCAGGATCTGGCCCACAAGGGGGGCCTGGACACCACCATGGGCAGCCTGGACACCGTCCCCTGCTTTCCCTTCCCTGGGGCCTCGGCCAGCTGGCCGGGGCGGGACGTCCCCCGCAGGGGAGCGGAACCGGGGGCCAGAGACCCATAAAGCCCAGGCCACCTTTACTGCCGGCTTTGTTACTGGCTGCCCACAGCAACGACCATTAGAGCCGCCTCCCCCGCCAGCAGCTGGGGCCCCCGCAGGTCCTCCCTTTACTGCCACACATCAGTGCCCCGGCCCCACGGGGGTCTGACCGTGCCTCGCCATCGGCCCAGTTCACCCACCATTTGGCCTAGGGGTTAATGGCTCCCCTCCTCCAACCCCAACCCTGGTTGGTCCTACACGGGGCAGCTGATTGCTGCCGGGCGCCTCAGTTTCCCCACCCGGGATGTGAGGGTTGCTGGGGCTCCAGGTGCTTAGGGTAAAGCCGCTGTGTTTTCTCACACACTCTCCTTGAGAGGAGGGGAAACTGAGGCAGGAGGTGTGGTGAGGTTTCTTATAGGGGCTGTGCTGGGGAAGGGGGGGTCCAAGCAGGGTAGACCCTTCCAACACTGGGTCAGAATCTCAGAGGAGACGACCTTCCCCTTGCCCTGGAAGGGCCCAAGGTGTGCTGGCCTCTACCTTCACATCTTAGGGGGGCCGCCGTAACGAAGGACCTCAAACAAATGAGACCTGTTCTCCCTCCGTCCTGGAGCCCAGAGTCCAAAATGGAGGCGTTCGCAGGGCTGTGCTCCCTCCAGGGGCTGCAGGAGGAGCCTTCCGCCTCTCCCAGCTCCTGGGGGCTCTGGGTGTGGCCCCGTGGCCGGCCTCTGCCTCTGTGCGACCGTCTCCGTGTCTAAGGACCCAGCCCTTGGATGTAGGACCCACCGGCCTTCACTGTGACTTTTTCTCCGTTTGATCACATCTGCAAAGGCCTTTTTCCAAATCACGTCCTGTTCTGAGGTTCCGGGTGGATGTGAATTTGGGTGGGGGGCGGCGTTCACCCCAGGACAGCCCCAACGGTGAAACAGATCCCAGATTCTGGCAACAAAACAGACAGAACCCCAGACAGAACCCTAGATCTGGGACTCCGCGATGGACGGGGTCTCGGAGGAAAAGCGTGGAGGGAGTGGGCGGGAGCCGGCCCGGGGTCAGAGGAGGAGGCCAGGCGTGTGGCCGTGTGTGCGTGCCTGTGCTCATGGGACCCACCGGCCCGGCTGGCCGGGTCTACCTGCGGGCCCCACACCCCTGGGGCAGCCGAAGGGGAAAGGCCTCGTCGTCGGCCACCATAAATCAGTGCAGGAATGCGGGCTGGCCAGTCTGGCGCTGGCCAGGGTGGGGCGGAGACAAAGGCCAGGCAGCTGGACCTCGGGCAGCCTCGACCACCCAGGGCAGAGGTCAGGACTCCTGGCTGCCCCCCCCAGCCCCCTCCCGGAAGCCCTCACTGAGCCTCCAGTACACAGATGGGGAAACTGAGGCCCAGAGAGGGGCGGGACGGCTGCAGGGTGGCGGGGCCCTCGGCCGCCCGGCCTCCCCAGCACCTGGGATGTCCCCGACAGCAGGGGCTGGGCGTGGGCCTCCTTCCTGGGCCCTAATGACGGATCATCCCAGCTGAGGCCTAATTGGTGGTTTCAAGGCCCCCCACTGCCCAGCCAGCCACATTCCCCGGAGCTTAATTTGCAGCCTGGTATTTGTCGCAGCTCCTCCTCGGCAAATTGGCCCCCGCCTGAACTCCGCTTTCTAATTATCCCTGCCGGCTTTCCCCCACCCTGCCCGCCCCTGCCTGCCCGCCCAAACCTGTGGACGGGGGGCTGGGGGACCTCCTGACCCCTTGTACCCCAGACAGAGCCCCTTTCCCCTCTGGAAGACATTCTGGGGCTTGGTGATCTCCTTCCTCCCCAGCCATCACCCTGGCAGGCAGAGGCAGTCGGAGGCTCGGTTCACAGCTGGAGGCCGAGACCCCAGGCTCCAGGTGCGGGGAAGCCAGCGGGAGGCAGGAGGACCAGGATGGGAAGCAGGACGGGGCTCTGGGTCGAGTCCGTGACATCCCCCCAGGCTCTGGTCCCACACGCACCACTGTGCTTCAGTTTCCTCATCTGCAAAGCAGAGCCAGTTCTCAGAGCACACGCGCTCCTGTCTAGCCCTCAGGGCAGCCCCGGGAGGCATGCTGGTGACTGTTTGCAGTGATTTGCTGTGTGAACTCAGGCAGGCACTGTCGTAGGTTAAATTGTGTCCCCCAAAGAAGATAAGGTGGAGGGCGGTGGCTCCCGTCTGTGACCCCAGCACTTTGAGAAGGCGACGTGTGAGGATCGAGGGAGCCCAGGAGTTCGAGACCAGCCTGGGCAACATAGAAAGACCCCATCTCTACAAAGAAAATGTGAAAACTTAGCCCTGTGTGATGGCGAGTGCCTGTGATCCCAGCCACTTGGGCAGCTGAGGCGGGAGGATCCCTTGAGCCCAGGAGGTCGAGGCTGCCGTGAGCCATGATTGCGCCCCTGTACTGCAGCTGGGCAACAGAGTGAGACCCTGTCTCTAAAAACTAACAAACAAAAAAGACTTTGGGAGGCTGAGGCAGGCAGATCCCTTGAGGTCAGGAGTTCGAGACCAGCCTGGCCAAATGGTGAAACCCTGTCTCTACCAAAAAATACAAAAATTAGCCGGGTGCGATGGCAGGTGCCTATAATCTCAGCTACTCAGGAGGCTGAGGGGAGAGAATTGCTTGAGCCTGGGAGGCCGAGATTCCACCACTGCACTCCAGCCTGGCCAACAGAGCGAGACTCCATCTCAAAAAAATGATAATAATAATTAAAATTAAAAAAAAAAAAAAGAAATAGGCCAGGCGCGGTGGCTCACGCCTGTAATTCCAGCACTTTGGGAGGCCGAGGCGGTTGGATCACAAGATCAGGAGACCATCCTGGCCAATATGGTGAAACTCCGCCTCTACTAAAAATACAAAAAAATTAGCCAGGCATGGTGGTGGGCGCCTGTGGTCCCAGCTACTCCGGAGGCTGAGGCAGGAGAATGGCGTAAACCCGGGAGGCGGAGGCTGCAGTGAGCCGAGATGGCGCCACTGCACTCCAGCCTGGGGGACAGAGAGAGACTCCGGCTCAAAAAAAAAGAAAAAGAAGAAGAAGAAAGAAAGGAAAAAGGATAGGTTCAAGCACTGGACCCCCAGTATTTGTGACGGGACCTCTTTTGGAAACGAGAGACCTTACTGAAGTACAGTCACGTGTTGACGTGAGGTCAGCCTCCGGCCGCAGATAAAACGGTGGTCCCACGAGATTCGAATTCCATATTCCTCGTGCACCTTTTCTGTGTCCAGCTGTGTTAGACACACAAACAGTCACCATCGCGTTGCCGTTGCCTGCGGGACCCAGAACAGCCACAGATTCGTATTCCAGGAGCGCTGGCTGGGCTGTGCCTGTACCTGGGTGTGTGGGAGGCCCCACCCGTGAGGTGCGTGTGACTCAGTCTTTGATGTTCACACTGACGAAATCACTAACAGACACATTTATCAGGATGCGTCCTGCACGAAGACAGAGGCAGCGGCCGGAGCGACGCGGCCACAAGCCCAGGAGCCTGGAGCCCCCAGAAGCCGTGAGAGGCAGGAAGGTTTCTTCCTGGGAGGCTTCGGAGGCAATGCAGGCCTGCAGATGCACCTTTTGTTTTGTTTTGTTTTTAGAGACAGGGTCGCGTTCTGTCACCCAGGCTGGAGTGCAGTGGTGCCGTCTCGGCTCACTGCAGCCTCCACTGCCCAGGCTCAAGCAATCCTCCCACCTCAGCCTCCCAAGTAGCTGGGACTATAGGCATGAGCCGCTCCACCTGGGTAACTTTTTGTATTTTATTGTAGAGATGGGGTCTCACTGTGTTGCCCAGGCTGGTCTTGAATTCCTGGACTCAAGCCGTTCACCCACCCTGCAAAATGCTGGGATTACAGATGTGAGCCGCCACCTTGCAGAGAAATTGGTTTTGGACTGCCGGGCTCCAGGACCGCGGGAGAATAGATTTCTGTTGTTTTAAGCTGCAACGCGTGGCTGTAGGGAGTCGAGGATCGATTTGAGATGAGGTGGCCCTAAAGCCAGCAGGCTGGTGTCCTGAAGAGAGGAAAGAGAGACGGGGAGAGGGTCTTGTGGAGACGGAGGCAGAGACTGGAGCGCTGCGGCCACAAGCCAGGACGCACCTTGATCTGGGGTTCCCGGGCCCCTGGACCCGGAGAGGACACCGTCTGTCGTCCCAGGCCGCCTGCTTTCTGGGGCCTCTGGGAAGCTCGTTCACCAGCATTTCTGTCTCGCAGCCCTTGTGGCTCTTCACCTGCCCAGCGGGGCCTCCGGCTCTGTTTCGGCTCTAGCAGCGGCTCGGGGGTCCTAGGGTTGGCAACCCCTGCTCCTGTCCTCCTGGCCTGGCCTCCAGCGCAGGGGGGACGTGGTTCCCACACCTGAGCTCTGGCACCAACTAACCCATCCCCTCTCCACCCTCACAGCTCTATGAACTCGACGGGGACCCCAAGAGGAAGGAATTCCTGGATGACTTGTTCAGCTTCATGCAGAAGCGAGGTGAGCCCTCTGCTCTCACCCCCCCGGAGGGAGGTCACAGAAACGGGGCTGTAGGAGGGGCCCTATTGGCTCCAGGTATGTTGGGGTGGTAGTGAGCTCCCCGTGGCTGGAGGCATCCAAGGCTCCTAAATCAGGAGGGACTTCAGGGATGTCTTGGGGGGAAGCACATCCTGCCATGGGGGTTTGATGCAGGAGGCACGCCTGTGAGTCTAAGGAGTAGGCCCCCGGTGGGGGGCGGGGCAGTCTCAGGGCCCCAACCCAGAACAGACAGTCCAGGCCGTCTCCTTGGCATCCAGGGTGCAGTGAAGTGAGGGGTCCCCGCTACTGGGTACTAGGGGAGTAGAGCCAGCCTCTGTGTTTGGGGAGTGGGGTCAGATCCAGGCTGGCCAGGTGGGGGCAGGTGCGGCAGGACAAAAGCCCCCAGCCCACCGCGAGGTGGCTTAGAGTCTAATGATCTCATGGCATTTGAGTCCTGGCCCCCTCCCCTCCTCCCACAAGGGCCTCAGTTTCCCCATCTGTAAAAATGGGCCACAAACAGTCCCTGCCCAAAACTCAGTGGCCAGGAGGTACCCCAGACGTGCTGAGTGCAGGGCTGCTGTTTACTGTGCGCACTTATTGGACACCAACGGTATACCAGGCCTCGGCCGCTTGTACACTGCTCTGTGCCCCTGAAGTGTCCTGGCCTGGGGAGGGCAGGTCTGGGCTGGTGTCCAGGTGGGGAAACTGAGGTCCAGACACAAGACAGACTCAGAGACGACCAAGGGTAGCCAGAATGTCCCCAGTGGCCATTCCCAGGCCTCACCCCAGCTTAGAGCAACTACAGGGCAAAGGGAACGTGGCCAGGGTTTCCATCTTGCCTCCAAGTCCTGGTTGGCCAGCGAGCGGCTAGGAGCGTCTGCCGCCAGGTAGGAGCCGCTCCAATCCCCTGGACACTCCTCTAGGGCAGGGAGCTAGCTCCGATCCCCACTGTTCAGACCCCACTGTTCAGACGGGGGAGGAGGTCTCGGGGCCCACAGAGGCAGGAAGGGGTGGGGCAGAGGGCTCTGTCCCTGCACTTGGGGCCATGCCGGGTCGTCGTAGGCGCCCGCTGTGTCCCAGCCTCCGCCCACCCCTCCCCTGGCTTCTATAAACACAGGCCCCAGACCCGCCACTGCCAGCCGCCCGCCCGGAAGAGAAGGAGAAGGAGGAGGGCTGTGGGCCCCCCGGCCCACACTGCCCAGCAGCCTCTGAGTTAACCCCTCCCATGCTGGGAACAGAGGATCCAGACCTGGGACCTGGGCGGGGGCCTCTCCTGTGTTATCCTCCAAGCCCAGCCTTGACCAGGGCCCACTGCCCCCCATGAGGCTGGACAGATCCTCCCCATGACCTTTTATCATCCCGTTCACACCTGCTCGGCCCTGACCACTCTGCTGTGGGGCTCCAAGCTCCCGGGTCCAAAGCCAACCCGTTTTGCTGTTACCCATGCCTGGTACCTTGCTGGTGTCATGGGCGTACTTAGAAAGCACAGTGGGCCGGGCGTGGTGGCTCAAGCCTGTAATCCCAGCACTTTGGGAGGCCGAGATGGGCGGATCACGAGGTCAGGAGATCGAGACCATCCTGGCTAACACGGTGAAACCCCGTCTCTACTAAGAAATACAAAAACTAGCCGGGCGAGGTGGCGGGCGCCTGTAGTCCCAGCTACTCGGGAGGCTGAGGCCGGAGAATGGCGTGAACCCGGGAGGCGGAGCTTGCAATGAGCTGAGATCCGGCCACTGCACTCCAGCCTGGGCTACAGAGCGAGACTCCGTCTCAAAAAAAAAAAAAAAAAAAAAGAAAGCACGGTGAGGGCGGGGTGTCGTGGCTCACGCCTGTAATCCCAGCATTTTGGGGGACCGAGGCAGGTGGATCACTTGCGGTCCGGAATTGGAGACCATCCTGGCCAACATGGTGAAACCCCGTCTCTACTGAAAATACAAAAATTGGCCGGGCATGGTGGTGCGCGCCTGTAATCCCAGCTACTTGGGAGGTTGAGGCAGGAGAATTGCTTGAATCCAGGAGGCAGAGATGGCAGTGAGCTGAGATTGCACCACTGCACTCCAGCCTGGGTGACAGAGCAAGACTCTGTCTTTAAAAAAAAAAAAAAAAAAAAAAAGCACAGTGAGGCTGGGTGAGGTGTAGCTCACGCCAGTAATCCTAGTACCTTGGGAGGCCAAGGAGTGGGGATTGCTTGAGCCCAGGAGGTCGAGGCTGCCCTGAGCTATGATTGCATCACTGCACTTCAGCCTAGGTGACAGAGTAAGCCCCTGTCTCAAACAAACAAACAAAAAGCAAGCATGGTAGGCTGCTCATGAGTGTGGATGAGATGGAGGCGCCTGGCACATGGGGCCGTGAGGGTTGGTGTCCAGCTTTACCTCCCTCTCCAAGCTGGGAATTCCTACAGGACAGGAGCCAGCGAGCTCCTATGCATCCCTCAAAACCCAGCCTCAAAGCTCCCTCTTCCTTGCCTTCCTCCTGGAGCTTCCCGCTCTGTAATGGGGACCCTTGGAGCTGAGAATCTGTCAGGTGAACTCGCCTGTCACCCTAGACTCCACAATCTACCTCTCCTTCACTCCAGACAGAGGGAAATAATTTTTTTTTTTTTTTTCCTGTATCACAAAGTAAAAACCTCCAACTAAATTTCTCAGAATTCTCTGGGGGCTGGAAGTGAGGGAGGGGTCCTGACCGCACCCCCTGCCCCTCAGCAGCAGCCCCTGGACCACCTGACCTGCTGTTCCCTGACAACCTCCCCGCCCTTCCTTATCTGGGCCCCAGATGGGCCCTGCTGATGCTCCCAGCTGCTTCTGTAAACATCCTCCTCCCACCACTGCAAAGCCAGGGCGCAGCCCTGGGAACCAACCCTCTAACCCTCTGCTGCGATCCTTTTTTTTTTGAGACAGAGTTTTGCTTTTGTTGCCAAGGCTGGAGTGCAATGGCGGGGCCTCAGCTCTCTGCAACCTCCATCTCCCGGGTTCAAGCGATTCTCCTGCCTCACCCTCCCAAGTAGCTGGGATTACAGGTGCCCACCACCACGCCCGGCTAATTTTTGTATTTTTAGTACAGACGGGGTTTCTCCATACTGGCCAGGCTGGTCTCGAACTCCTGACCTCAGGTGATCCTCCCGCCTCGGCCTCCCGAAGTGCTGGGATGACAGGCGTGAGTCCCACGCCCAGCCTGATGCCATTCCTTTTGCTTTGCAAACTCTGAGGCCTGAACTGATGTCCCGAGTGAGGCCGGACGGAGGCTCTGGGCAGGGTTCCGGGCTGATCGTGCAGCTAAAACCCGGCGTGGTTCCTCTCTCTGAGGCTGTAAAACGGGTTTCAGGTGGGGTCGGATCTGAGGCCCATCTTCTTCCAACCCAGGATCTCCTCCATTCACTGGGGGTTTTGCAACCTGGGAAAGGCCTGAAAGTGGCCGAGGGTGGTGGGAGGTGGTTCCGGAAGCTTCCTCCGGGGGTCCCAGGGGTGGCAGGCCTCGTCCAGGCAGAGGGCCGGCCGCTCACTCAGGGCCGCACCGGCTCTCCAGCCAGTCACATCACAGAACCACCGATGTCCACGTCCCCATCCCCAACGGGGCGATGGGCGTCCCCTCCCACTCCATGGTGAGTGGGCAGCAGCTGTGGCCTGGGCCACTTGCCCTCACTGGTCTTCACTGAGCGCCTACTGTATGCCGCTGGGTGCCGGGACCCCACGTAGGCAGAACATGGAGCGGGGGCCGCAGACAGTACACAATTGATCTCCTAAGCACAGAATTTCACTGACCGGACGAGAGGTTTAAGTGGGGCTTGCCTACTGTCAGGCCAGGGAGAGGCTGGGCAGAGGTGGAGCTGACATCTGAAGCCAGAGGCTCCGGTGCAGGGGCAGCCTGGGAGAGCCCTGGAGGGGGCGGGTGGGGCTGGAAGGGTGGGGAGGGGCCCTGTCTTCAGCCAGCTCCAGGAGATGAGGTTGCAGGATCCTGAGTCAGCCCAGCCCCATCTTCTTCCTGCGCCAGCCCACCCACCGCCCTTCCCCTGCCTGAGCTGATCTTCCCTCTTTCCCACCCTGGCATAGCATAGCCCACAACCCTCTCCTCCTGGGCTAGCCCACCCCCCCATGCCGGGGCTAGCCCATCCCCTTCCCCTCCCTAGGCCAGCCCACAGCCCTCCATTCTCCAAACTCCAAATCGGGTATGCCAAGCTTTCCCCCTCGCCTGCCTGAGGCTGCAGAGTCCCTGTCAGCGTGGCGGGAACAGGCCTGAGGCTGCAGAGTCCTTGTCAGCGTGGAGGGAACAGGCCTGAGGCTGCAGAGTCCCTGTCAGCGTGGAGGGAACAGGCCTCTGGAAACCCAGGCAGAGTTGTTTTGGCAGCTGCCGTGGTGGGTGGCGTGGAGAAGGAATAACAAAGATCCGGGCGTCTCCCGTACGTCCCTCCTCTCAGTAACCCTCCTCCCGAGGGCTGCGTTGTCCCTAAGCCGAGGTTACTGGTGGGTAAACTGAGACAGAGCTGCCCCCTCGGTGCCCTCTTGAGCAGCAGTTCCCAACCTGGATGATCCTGCACCCACAGAGGACCCTGGGTAACGTCTGGAGACATCTGTGGTTGTCACAGCCTGGGCCGGGGAGTGCTCCTGGCATGGAGAGGGTGGAGGCCGGGACACTCGGCTCCCTGCAGTGCCCAGGTGGCCCCCAACCTCCCTCTCGCCCCTGCCCCCAGGGACACCTGTGAACCGTATCCCCATCATGGCCAAACAGGTCCTTGACCTGTTCATGCTGTACGTGCTGGTGACGGAGAAGGGCGGCCTCGTGGAGGTCATCAACAAGAAGCTATGGCGCGAGATCACCAAGGGCCTCAACCTGCCCACATCCATCACCAGTGCGGCCTTCACCCTGCGGACCCAGTGAGTGGCGGGTGGCTGTGCCCAGGTCGGGCCAGGGCACTCAGCAGCCAGTGCATGTGGCTCCCTGCAGAAGAGGGAGGGCGTGGTGGGCAGCCGCAAAGGGCACAGGGCCACGCTGTGCATCCAGGACCTGAGAGCATCAGGTAGGGGTGCGAGGACCACACAGGCTCTGGGGTTATGCAATCAGGGGCCATTGTGAGGAACAGCATTGAGATGGAGGGAACAGCGTGGCAAAGGCCCAGTGGCTCTGGGGGCTGCTGAGCAAGTCCAAGGGAGGAGCCAGGGATGGTGGTGCCACAGTGGGGTTTACTTTGTACTGAAGGTCAAAGGGAGCCACAGGGGTGATCTGGGTGCCATCCTCTTCCCTCGTCCCACCCACAGATACATGAAGTACCTGTACCCCTACGAGTGTGAGAAGCGGGGCCTCAGTAACCCCAATGAGCTCCAGGCAGCCATAGACAGCAACCGACGGGAGGGCCGGCGCCAAAGCTTTGGGGGCTCCCTCTTTGCCTACTCGCCAGGTGGGGCGCACGGCATGCTCTCCTCACCCAAGCTGCCCGTGTCCTCCCTGGGCCTGGCCGCAAGCACCAACGGCAGCTCCATCACCCCCGCCCCTAAGATCAAGAAAGGTAAGGGCCTGCATGGGGCCTGGGGCGTGTTCCCAACTGAGCTTCAGCCTGGCTGGCTGACCTTGGGGGATACCTCTTCCCCTCTCTGGGTAACCAGGATGAAAAACCCTATAGTTGGCATGGAAAAGGGCTTCCAATCTACCAGTCTTCTGCCCATGGCAGACATTACCAATCCATCACCGCTTTTCTAATCCCACACAGATGGCAGGCAGACATTGCTAATCAATCTGTGTTTCCAGTCCTGTGGCCAAGGCAGACATTACTAATTGATCACTGTTTTTCCAGTCTACACTGAGGCAGGCATCATCAGTTGACCAGTTTTCCCTCCCACTGAGCCTTTGTACCCTCTATAACACAGAGGTACCAACAGCACATGCAGCAGCGTGGCCTCAGTTTGCCTGTCTGAGTTCCCATTTCTCATCTGGGCAACATAGTGAGAACCCATCTCCAAAAAAAAAAAAAAATTAGCTGGGCGTGGCAGCATTCACCTGTGGTCCCAGCTACCCAGGAGGCTGAGGTGGTCAGATCGGTTGAACCCAGGAGGTCGAGGCTGCAGTGAACTGAGATTACACCACTGCACTACAGCCTGGGCAACAGTAGTGAGACCCAATCTAAAAAAAATTTGTTTAGGCCAGGCACGATGGTTCAAGCCTATAATCCCAGCACTTTGAGAGGCTGAGGCAGGCAGATCGCTTGAGGTCAGGAGTTTGAGACCAGCCTGACCAATATGGTGAAACCCCGTCTCTACTAAAAATACAGAAATTAGCCAGGTGTGGTGGCGTTTGCCTGTAGTCCCAGCTACTTGGGAGGCTGAGACAGGAGAATCACTTGAACCCAGGTGGCAGAGGTTGCACTGGGTCGAGGTCACGTCACTGCATTCCAGCCTCGGCGACAGAGTGAGACTCCGTCTCAAAAAAAAAAAAAAAAAAATTAGCTGAGTGTGGGGGGCGCCTGTAATCCCAGCTATTCGGGAGACTGAGGCAGGAGAATCACCTGAGCCTGGGAGGCGGAGGTTGCAGTGAGCCAAGATCCCGCCACTGCACTCCAGCCTAAGCAACAGAGCAAGAATCTGTCTCAAAGAAAAAAAAAAAAAGAAGGTGCATGTTCCTGCCTCAAGTAAGGCAGTGCCCAGCCCCTCCTGGCCACAAATTCCCCTTCTTTCCTACCTAGAGGAGGACTCAGCCATCCCCATCACGGTCCCTGGCCGCCTGCCTGTCTCCCTGGCAGGCCACCCTGTGGTGGCAGCCCAGGCAGCAGCTGTGCAAGCAGCAGCCGCCCAAGCAGCTGTGGCCGCACAGGCAGCCGCCCTGGAACAGCTGCGGGAGAAGCTGGAGTCTGCAGAGCCTCCTGAGAAGAAGATGGCCCTGGTGGCTGATGAGCAGCAGCGGCTGATGCAGCGGGCACTCCAGCAGAACTTCCTGGCCATGGCGGCCCAGCTGCCCATGAGCATTCGGATCAACAGCCAAGGTACTGCCCTGGTGTCCAGACCCACTATGCTTCCTGGTTGTGTCACACAGTGAGGGCCTGGGAGCCTACATATGTAAAGAGTGCCAACAAATCAGTAAGAAAAAAAAAAGAGGCCGGGTGCAGTGGCTCGCACCTGTAGTCCCAGCACTTTGGGAGGCCAAGGTGGGTGGATCACTTGAGGTCAAGAGTTTGAGACCAGCCTGGCCAACATGGTGAAACCCCGTCTCTACTAAAAATACAAAAGTTAGCTGAGTGGTGGTGGGTGCCTGTAATCTGAGCTACTCAGGAGGCTCAGGCAGGAGAATCACTTGAACCCAGGCGGCGGAGGTTGCAGTGAGCCGAGATATCATACCATTTTATTCCAGCCTGGACAACAGAGTGAGACTCCATCTCAAAGAAAAAACAAAAACGGGGGGGTGCTGGGGGACTGGGCATGGTGGCTCACTCCTGTAATTTTAACACTTTGGGAGGCCGAGGCGGGTGGATTACCTGAGATCAGGAGTTCAACAGCAGCCTGGGCAACATGGAGAAACCCCGTCTCTATTAAAAATACAAAAAATTAGCCAGGTATGGCAGTGCACCCCTGTAGTCCCAGCTACTTGGGAGGCTGAGGCAGGAGCATCGCTTGAACCATGAGGTGGAGGTTGCAGTGAGCCGAGATAACGCCACTGCAAACAAGAGCAAAACTCCGTCTCAAAAAAAAAAAAACAAAAAAAAAACTGGTTGGGCACAGTGGCTCACGCCTATAATCACAGCATTTTGGGAGGCTGAAATGGGAGGACTGCTTGAGCCCAGGAATTTGAGATCAGCCTGAGTAACCCAGTGAGACACCATCTCTACAAAAATTAGCTGGGCGTGGTAGCACGCTCCTGTAGCCCCAGCTACTCGGGAGGCTGAGGTGGGAGGATCACTTGAGCCCAGGAGGTCGAGGCTGCAGTGAGCCATGATTGCACCACTGCACTCCAGCCTGGGTGACAGAGCAAGACCTGGTCTCAAAAACAAGGTTAAAAAAACAAAGCAGGCCAGGCACGGTGGCTCAAGCCTGTAATCCCAGCACTTTGGGAGGCCGAGACGGGTGGATCATGAGGTCAGGAGATCGAGACCATCCTGGCTAACACGGTGAAACCCCGTCTCTACTAAAAAATACAAAAAACTAGCCATGCGAGGTGGTGGGTGCCTGTAGTCCCAGCTACTCGGGAGGCTGAGACAGGAGAATGGCGTAAACCTGGGAGGTGGAGCTTGCGGTGAGCTGAGATCCGGCCACTATACTCCAGCCTGGGCGACAGAGTGAGACTCCATCTCAAAACAACAACAACAACAACAACAACAACAAAAAAAAAAACCAAAGCAGAGTATGGACAAATACACTTATTGAACAAATAAATACTGAGCACCTACTGTGTGCACTGGTGACAGCATGAGTGTGAGAGACACTGTCTACACCTTGTGAAGCTAAAATCTAGTTGGCAAGACAGACAGAAAACAGAACATGCCACAGGTGTCTTTATGATCAGAAATGGCAGTTTTGGCCGAGCGTGGTGGCTCACGCCTGTAATCCCTGCACTTTGGGAGGCCGAGGTGCATGGATCATGAGGTCAGGAGATCGAGACCATCCTGGCTAACATAGTGAAACCCCATCTCTACTAAAAATACTAAAAAAAATTAGTCGGGTGTGGTGGTGGGTGCCTGTAGTCCCAGCTACTCGGGAGGCTGAGGCAGGAGAATCACTTGAACCCTGGAGGTAGAGGTTGCAGTGAGCCGAGATCATGCCACTGCACTCCAGCCTGGACGACAGAGCAAGACTCCGTCTGTAAAAAAAAGAAAAAAAAAATGCATTTGTTCTTCTTCCCACAGCCTCCGAGAGCCGCCAGGACTCCGCTGTGAACCTGACAGGCACCAACGGCAGCAACAGCATCAGCATGTCCGTGGAGATCAATGGCATCATGTACACAGGTAGGACCCCTGAGGCCACGCGCTGCCTGGACCTTTCCTCTCCCACCGTGAACTCAGGGCCCTGGGTTGCTCCTGGTCCCACCTGTTCGAACCAGCTGTGCGGGCAAGTAGGGCATGACCAGGGGCTTTGCGGGATAAACAGTCAAGGCTGATGGAGAGGATACCGTCGTTCACCTGGCGCCATGCTCAGCCCAGAGGGGGTCATCCACAGATACATATTCAGTGTGACGCTGGATGGATCACATTCCTAGTTTATTTATTTATTTTTATGAGACGAAGTCTTGCACAGACATGCACCAGCAAACCTGGTTAATTTTTAAATTTGTTGTTGCTCTTTAAATTTTAAATCGCTTTGTTGCTCAGACTGGTCTTGAACTCCTGGGCTCACGCAGTCTTCCTGCCTTGGCCTCCCAAAGTGCTGGGATTACAGGCGCGAGCCACCACACCCGGCCAATCCCAGCATTTTCGGAGGCTGAGGAGCAAAGAATATGTAAGCCCAGGGGTTAGAGACGTTGAGGCTGCAGTGAGCTGTGATGATGCCACTGCACTCCAGCCTGGGCCACAGACCGAGACCCTGTCTCTTGAAAAAAAATTTAATGAATTTATTATTTATTTTAATTTTTAATTTTTGTGAGTACATAGCAGGTATATATATTCATGGGTTTTATGAGATGTCTTGATACTGGCATCCAATGCCTAATAATCACATCAGGGTAAATGAAGTAACAAAAAAATTTAATCTAGGCTGGGTGCAGTGGCTTACGGCTATCTATAGTCCCAGCACTTTCGGAGGCTAACACAGGAGGATCACTTGAGCCCAAGAGTTTGAGACCAGCCTGGGCAACATAGTGAGACCCCATCTCTCCTAAAAATACAAAAATTAGCCGGGCGTGGTGGCACGCAGCTATAATCCCAGCTACTCTGGAGGCTGAGGGGGAGGATCACTTGAGCCCAGGAGGTGGAGGTTGCAGTGACCTGAGATCACGCCATTGTACTCCAGCCTGGGTGGAAGAGAGATCTTGTCTCTCTCTCGCTCTTTTTTTTTTTTTTTTGAGATGGAGTCTTCCGTCTGTCACCCAGGCTGGAGTGCAGTGGTGCGATCTTGACTCACTGCAACCTGTGCCTCCTGGGTTCAAGCGATTATTCTGCCTCAGCCTCCTTGACTTCCCCCTGGTAAGAAATCAATTGATGTACACGTTTGCATCTAATTTTCAGGAGGGCCATGGCCTCACACATCCATCTGTGGACCTGTGAAGACACCATTGACCTCAGCTCAGCCTCTGCTCTGACCACGTCAGGCTCCTGCAACCAGGCTGCTCTGTGTCAGCAGCGCCACCTGGTGGCCGCTATGACCATGGGCCTACTCCACTTAAGAAAAACTCTTCATTTACTTTATGTTCTTTTGTCGAGATGGGGTCTCCGTGTGTGCCCAGGCTGGCCCAGCAAACCTCTGTCCTCAGCCTCCCGTTGGGATTAAGGCGTGAGCCCACTGCCCCTGGTCTGACTCCATTTTTTTAATTCTTCTTTTTTCTTTCTCTGAGACAAAGTCTCGCTCCGTCGTGCAGGCTGGAGTGCACTGGCGTTGATCTCGGCTCACTACAAACTTCACCTCATGGGTTCAAGCATTCTCCTGCCTCAGTCCCCAAGCACCTGGGATTATAGGCGCACACCAGCACACCTGGATAATTTTTGTATTTTTAGGGGAGATGGGGTTTCACCATGTTGGCCAGGCTAGTCTTGATCCTGACCTCGTGATCCACCCACCTCGGCCTCCCAAAGTTCTGGATACAGGCATGAGCTACTGTGCCCGGCAACTTTTAAATTCATTTTATTAAAAAAAAAAATATATATATATATTAATATATATATATATATATATATGAGTCCGGGCATGGTGATTCACGCCTGTAAT